GAGAAATTTTATGGGATACAGTGAACCATTAAAAATGATATCACCGAGAACCTGTTAAAAAGACAACCATGTGTTAATTCACTTTCTTGTGAACTCTTGTACACTGGGAAAAAGCTAGTGAGATTTCATTATACTGCTCATCACTGCAGTCTTCATTATGCCCAAGTGGGGGAAGATTAAACCCACTGGAGAACTGTAATGATCTGCCTTGTTCCTCTAGCACAGTACAACCTAGCTAATAGATTGCATCCTACTGGCGCAGGTAAACCTCTGACACAAGTTTTCAATCTCTATGATCAGACCATGCTTTCATGATACCATCAATTGTTGCAATGCAAACTGAGATTCAAACTGAAAACAACCTCCTCCTAATAGATAATTAGAATGGTTTTTCTTCTTGAAATTTACATGCTTAATCCAAGTAAGGTCTTGCCTGTGTCTACCATTGCACTTGCTCAATTTTTCCTCCAAGAAATTTTTGGAGGAAATGTGTGAGGAAGTGAGGAAAGTAAAGTTATTTGGCTTTGGGACTTTAATTCTTGGTATTCAAGTGCTATGATCCTCAGTCATTTAAGCTTACTGTGAGGAGGAAACAAGAAAGGAAAGAGACTAATGAGGTCTCTGTCCCTGCACCCCAAAGGACATGTTTCAGGGATGAGTATCTGGCAGGGCAGTTAAGACACCACTTGAGATGCTTGCATCCCTTATAGGAGTGCCTGGTTTCAAGTTCTGGCTCTGGCTCTTATTCTAGCTGTCTGAGAATGCATCCGCTGGGAGGCTGCAGGCAACGGCTCAAGTAGTGAGTCCCTGCCCAATGTGCTAGATGCAGGCTGAGTTCTGAAATGCTGATTATTGTGGGCCTTTGGAGTGTCAATCCGCACACGAGTCTGTCTCTCCCTCTCTCTGTATCTCTTTTTTGTATTTCAAATTAATAAATCCTTCAAAGAAGATGTGTTGCAACACTGATCCGCTCGAATCCATAAAATGAGTAAGTAGCAAAAGATGTATTGAGATAGTTCAAGTGTTCAGCAAAGCATGTGTATCAAGGCAAGTAATACAGAACAAAAGACTGTATCCATCATGTATGTCAACCGGGAGCTTCATGGTGCCAAGCAGTCTCACACTTTTCTAAACAGTAAGTCAGCTGTGCAATGGGAAGCCTGGCGTGAGGGGCCAGTACAGCATATTTTATGTTCTGCTTCAAGTGCTCCAACAGCTAGAGAGGATGCAAAGAAAACTCCGCACAAGTTTCTCCACGAGGAGCTTAAGGTGCTCTAAAAAGAAGCAGTTTGGTAAAGGGATTAAGAAGCTTGAATTATCCATTATGAGTGAGCAGATCCCAATGGCAAATCTGATCCTCATCTTGTTGGTCCACACCACTGAAGGATGGATTGTCTTCCCTTAATGTGAAGAAGAAAAATGCTTAGTGCAGAATTTTTTCTATAAGCAGGTAAGTAAGCTAGATCTCTGAAAAAGCATGTTTTGCTTCTCCATGTGCGGCAATCAAAACTACCAGAGTTTAACAATTAGCATGATGCTGATAGATCTGAGGTCATAAATTTGCATCAAAGATCCAAGAGCAATAATATCTCTAACACTTGTCACCTGGTCTTACCAATGTATTTCTGGGTCCACAAACTCTCCTTAGAAGATTAGTAACAGTGCATAGCTCAGAGCTTTCCTTTGCCTATGTTTTCCTCAACTTAAATTTAAGTACATTCAATTTTCATTTCAAATGTAGGCAGTGATAGAATGGACAAGAGCTACACAATCCAAATACATAGGAGACAGTTGATTAATAAAACTATAAAGGGGTTCTCCAGATAGTATTCTGAATTGGTCTTTTTGGTGTAATTATCTGCCCTCATAGGAAACCCATACTTAAATAATATCATTGCAATAAGTATTTAGCGCTATAATGCAATTCTAAATTCTGGAGAAAATTTGACAGACTTGCCAGAAAAGAGGAATATATTCTGACTTGCTGGGTCTCTCCCCACCGTACCACCTGCTTGAATATTTTATTTTCCTCAATGATACCATTTAATGTTGGCTTTAGATCACCATTTAGATACTGTGGTAGCACTACAAGTTTTAGCAAACATACTCATGCAAATCCTTTGGCTTCTTCCCTCCCTTGCTTGTGAGGTTCATTTTCTTTCATGAACTGAAAACTGGGCTGCACAGGAATCGAATTTACTCTTCCACTTGGCTAATTCTTCTTGTTTCAACCAATTAATAAAACCAAAACAGTTGATTTCACTTGGCGTTCATGAATAAACAGGTGCTTTTCGAAATAAAATTATTTTTCAAAATATACTCAAAAATAATACAGGTCAGACCTACTCGCTAAGTCAAGCAATAATAATCGTTTCCTTCTTGCCTGAACACCATCCACAGTAGAGCCTCAAACAGCCTAGAGCCAGGTAACTAATGTAACACTTGCATTTTGGACAGGCATTCTCAGTACAGCCATGACATTATAGTCAAAGCAAAACAAAGTTTTGCCCAAAAGCATGGATAGGCAGCAACAGAAAGTAATTATAATGGCCCAATTCTTCTTAAGCAGTAAGTAAGTGTTATTCTGTTGGGTAAGGAAATTGGGCTGCATGTGACTTCCTCTGATGAACATACAATTTCTGAGTCTTAAATAATAATTCTTTTTTAATGAAATATTTATTCATTTGAAAGTCAGACTTAGACACACTTAGAGGAAGAGAGACAGAAAAAGAGACCTTGCATTCACTGGTTCACATGAGATGCCCACAACAACAGACCAAGGCAAAACCAGGAGCTTCAACACAGTCTCCCAGGTGGGTGCAGGGGCCCAAACATTTGGGCCATCTTCCACGGCTTTTCTCAGGCCACTAGCAGACAGCTGAATGGGGAATGGGACAGCTGGAACATGGACCAGCACCCATACGGGATGTTGGTATTAAAGGCAGTGACTTGACCTCCTATGTGAAAATGACAGCCCCTTAATAATTCCTTCACACACCTGCCTTCTGCCTGCTTTGTTTTTCTCACTCTCTCAACCCTTTTTGTATTTCTCTTTGATATCTCAGTTATGCCACTGATTTGACATCCACAACTACTCATCAATATAAAAAGCCTGATTCAGACACATGCCAGTCAAAGTCACCCATGATTTCCACAGTCCCTGGTAACAATACAAATGTCAGATGTTGGAAGTAGGCTTTATAGTCTACAAGGAAATCCCTGTTTTCACACGATCACTTTCTCATCTCTGTTCCAATTCCCAGCTTTAATTCACCTTAAAAATGACCTCACTGTTCCTGGGAATACAGGGATGGAAGTTAGAACAAGCCCTATAGAAGAAGATTGGGGAATACCTCAAGAATTGCACAATTCAAGACATTCTGAGGGTTGCACTCCCTGTGCCCTTCTTGAATCACTGCCATACCAAAGGGGTGTGTCAGTGTGTGCTAGATATGTGTTATGCCCACCCAGCGATGAACATTTTGCATAGGACACGTTTGTACTTAATGCAGCACAAGTTTATAGTTACTGAAGACCTGTATTTAAGACGTGGAGATGGATGCCTAGACTGTGATGAGGGGCAGGTGAGTTCTGCTAAAAAGTAGAGTGCAATACCCAATGACTCAGTCTGTAAAATCTAACTCACTCTCCTTCTTTCCCTTTTTCTCTCTTCCCATTTTAACGTTCTAGTCATGGCCATGAGGACTTCTGGCATCCTATATATCAACTCTTTGCTTGGCATAGAGCAAATCATACAGCTTATAAAGCACAGTTCTCCAGAGCACAGGTGCAACAAGGGTACCACCACATTACCTGGGGGCTTTCCAGAGTCCATCGTGACTCAGCGGGCCCAGTTGATTGGCTGTCTGGAAGCACAGTCTTACTCTTTACCTCTCTGCAAAGACTTCTTTCAAGAACACAGGCAACCAGGACAGAAAATAAATTTAATGTCACCAACTGATTTTTCTTCATTTAGAAAAAGGACGCATGACACTGGCTGACATCTGGCACTAATTCATAGGTGAAATTTCATGCTTGTGTTACAGTGATTTACCAAAGTTTATTACAAGTCTCATCCTTAAGACCTGGTTGCCCTTTCTGAATACAGGGATAGTTTTGAATATAACATTCCTAACAAACCTTTCCTTAATCGACATTCCCAGGCTTTAAAATATTCAATTTAAAAACTCTGTATTTTGGTATTTAGTCAAATCATAGGAAGAAAAACTATGAGCAAGAAAATGGATAAGCACCTTGTAGAAATAAATGTAAGCCTTATTGTGTGATTAGTGATTAAGCTATTCTTCACAAAACAGAGTACTGACGGATCCCGCCATCTGCAGGACTCTAAGTGTCCAAAGATTACCCCAACCCCATGTTCATGTCAAAGAAATGTGTACATTGGATCTGAATTATTCTGAGGCAGAAATACAAGCTTGTGTCTTCAGTCCTTCAGAAGGATAAATGAAGGTGGTTGTGGTTTCCCTGGCATCTTGCATGGCCTTTCTTCTGAAGAGAAGATACGTTCAAAATGAAAAACATTAACTGGGAGGAGCCAGGGGAGGGGGGGTCATGGTGCAAGCATGATGGCTCAGTTGACTAATCCACCACCTGGAAGTGTCAGCATCTTATGTCAACACCAGGTAGTGTCCCAGCTGCTTATCTTCCCATCCAGCTCCCTACTTGTGGCCTGGGTGAGCAGTGGAGGATAGCCCAAAGCCTTCACAATCTGAACCAATGTGGAAGACCTGGAGGAGGCTCCTGGCTTTGGAATGGCTTGGCTCTGGCTGTTATGGTCTTTTGGAGAATGAACCAGCAGATGGAAGACTTTTCTCTATTTCTCCTTTCTGTACAAATATGCCTTTCCATTAAAAATAAATAAATTAAAAAAAAACACTCACTGTTTGTTGGTTGGTGAAATAAAGTTTTCTTTTTGCCAGGCAAATTATCTGCACTCGTAATTAAAAAGCAACAACAACAACAAAAACCTTTTTCTTTCCCATACAAAATACCAAGGCAGAGTTTGAACAAGTTCACAACCAAAGTCAACTCTGTACAGCAAGAGCATCCTCCTCCACCAAGGAAAGCTCTACGGTATTGTCATGAGCACTGGTCTTCATCCTGAAGTTGAAAGAACCATAGAGTTTAGCCGATTCTTTAGAAGAGGCAAACCTGTTTCGACGATAGAGCTCCCCCTTCCACATAGACATCATGAGCAGGCAAGACAGGACCACTCCCCCCAGAGTGAGGAGGCAGAGGCCCGCGATGACACAGCGGTCCAAGTGAGCCCCCAGCCTGGCACTCTCCTTCTCCAAGCGCTCCATCTCACGGGCGGCCACTGTGTTGGGATCCACAGTCACCTCCCGGGGAACAATATATGAGATGATCACCAGCAAGATGCCAGTGACCAAGAACAAGATAGCGCTGATAAAACCATAGTCGACTGACTTCCCTGAAGATGCGGCTTCGGAACTTGAGTCATCTTCTTCTTCCGATATCAAGGATATGGCAGCCTCTTGGGACCAGTCATTTGGATTTCCCCAGCCAGGGTCTCTGGGATGGTTGGTCCCCTTGGTGGAAGGGGACCTCCGGTTCCACTGCTCCAAGTTCACATTCTCATCCACATAAGTAAAAGACGTTTCCAGTTCCTGGCTGCAGCAGTTGCAGACTTTTCGTTCTGCTATTCCTCGGCTGTTATTTGGGTCAAAAGGTCCTGATGAGAAGGAGTCTGGTAGAGGGGTGTTCTCTTGTGGATGGAAGGAAGGAGATGCAGGAGCAGGGCTGGGTCTTGAGGCTTCCATTCCAGGGGTGCAGTGTTGCTGGCAGTAGAGAGCAGCTCTGGTGGCTGATTCCTCTGCCTGCTCACCAGAAGGCCCTCCTGAACTCCGCTCCATAGCATTGCACAAATCTTCCTGGATGCTCTTTCCAGCAAGGCAGTGCAGCTCCATGCAAACTAGTCAGACATCCCGTGGCACCTGCTACAAGTTCTGCCAAGAGCAACACAGTTAGATACAACCCCCAACAGATGCTACGGCTGTGCTGCCAGGATGGTTGCTTGCAAGCTTCTCATTTCTTTGGCAGCTCCTGCTGGTTGCACCTGAGCCCCAACTCCTCCTCCAAGGGGCAAAAGAAGAGAACGATACCTAGAGGTGGCAAGCATGAAGAGGACCAACCATCTGCCTTGTCACAGGGGTGAACCCTGAGAAAGTTAGGTCAGCATAGAAGAGAAGCACGTGGCAGGCAGGGCATGGTGGTGTCTACAGAGAGTGCACAAACCGCCATCACCATAACCGCCAGTGTTATCCAAGGACTCTCACTTCCTGTGACAGCATCCCTCAAGTGAGAAGGCAAGCTATCCTGCAGAAAGACACAAACGAGAAAAGCGGGAGCCATTTTTAGCAGAAGTGCTAAATTTCTAGAGGACTTGGGGAAGCACAGACTTCTTAACAATTCAATTAGATTGTGTTTATCTTCCCGGTAATTGGGAGCAGAGTGCGATCCAGATTAGCGCCAGGGATTCACCACCAAGTGAACCAGCACGTGTTACCACTGGGAACCCTGGAGCAGGGATTCGACCCATCAGCTACCTCCTCTAAGCTCATATTCTGTCATACATCCAGGAGCCAAAGCCATGGCCCCGTGTTTCTAGGATCCCCATAGATGGTGTGTTCATTGTGCTTCTACTCTGCCCCATCCATAGGGGCAGTGTGTTGTGTACCCGCAGGGTAATCCCTGCAAAAGACCATCAGCCAGCCCACTCCCTCTCATGCACCTGCTTCTGCTGCTGAGGGTCTCTGACGCCTGTGTGCTGGTTCTATGCCACCATGAGCCGCTTCCCCTCTGTGCACTTTGATGACCTATGTGTACCAAAAGAAAGCATCCAGGAATATTGACAAACCAATCTAAAACTGACATGGAATCAAATTTTAACTTCTGAGAGTCAGACTTTGGTTGAAGCAAACAGGTAGGAAGTCATTTCCCAGTTTGCTTCTCGAACTTCCTATGACACTCCTTCACGCACACACACACACACACACACACACACTGCAGCACTAGGACAGAATTTTGTGTTGACCAGAAAACCATCTGCTCCTCTTTTTCTGGCTCTGCCATCTCCAGAAGAACATACATTCACTTTTCCCTATCAAAAACAAAACCAAAAATACAGGAATTTTAATCCATGGAACTTTTATTGTGCTTCTAGATCCAGGGTGATGGCTGCTTCAAAGCCCACTGGCTCTGAGAACCGGGAGCAGTGGCACATGCGAGGTTGATTAGAGCACAGACCCCGGGCAACCTGACAACTCTTCAAATACCGTTGGAGGGACCGATATGACCCCTGCGGGGAAATAAAAGGAGAATACACATTTGTCTCCCGTTACCGGAGTTTCTGCACGCTGAGAAAGCCGAGTCCAAGCAACCCCCCTCCATCGGCGCCAGAGCTCCGCTCACCAAGTGGACAACTGAGCGGTCCCGGCTTGCAGGAAGCAAGGGTGACGGGTCTATCAATTAGTAAAACGGAAACAACACAGATCCTCTCACTGTTCTCTAGGGCACGAAGAGCTCTGATTAATCTTGGGCACAATTAACTCATGACCTTAGACTCCTCTGGATAAAACTGGCTGGCTTCTGGGACTTCACATTTGCAACAAAGGAGGAGAAACCCACACTTACTTCTTATTTCCTGCCTCTATTCCTCCCGACAGAGAACTCTGTGCTGGCAGACACGCTGTCTGTACACTCGGGTTCCTTTGCGTGCTTACAGTCCGAGGCTTCCATTCTCGCTGGAGAAAATAGAATCCCAGCAGCCTAGCAAAGGTTCTTTCCCTCCGTCCTCTCACATCCCCCACCTCCGCCCGGTCTATTTAAAAGCTCAGTTAAGGAGCCTTCACCCCAAAGCCAGGGGACAGCACTTTTCCCCGTCAGGGGGCCATCAGTTTAAATAAAGCATGAATGCGTGCACAGGAACTAAGTGACATGGGTGAGGCTGATCTAAGGGAGACGACTCGGATGCGCGCTAGGGACAGAGAGCCCGGTGCCATCAACCAACCCGGGAACTCTGCCTGTAGAGGCACTGGAGTTGGGGCTGCGTCCACCAAGGAACAGAGACAAGCAGACACCTTAGGTGAAGACTGGAGACAGGAGCCCCAGCTCCGCCAGGTTCCCGGACTCACCACGCGCCTCGTCCACACCCCCCATGCTCCACCGCTCACCTTTGTTGGTCACACCGAACAGCCAGAAGCCAGAGCACTCTCCCGGGCGCGGTTCCCCAAAAAGTCTTTATCGCGAGCCCAGCACTTGTAGCCTCCGCTCCGCCCCAAGGCTGGGCAGGCAGCTCCAGCCGCGCTGGGCGGGGCGGGCCGCTCCCTCTTGCTGAGCATTTCGGGAGTTGTAGTTCTTGGGTGGGCTCCTGCATCACTCTGAGCTCTGTTTTCTCAATGTTTTTGATTTTATTCTTCCTGAAGGCGAGGTTCCCGCTACACCCACATGTTCCTCCCTGACACTTCAGGAAACAGCCTGCCTGTTACACCGAGTGCAGTCCTGCAGCCTCGGGTGTGGCCATCTGAGTGTAGGGGAGGAAGGGAGGGATGGAGTGTGTGCTGACAGTTTGTATGTTTTATTTAATACTCAAAACAAACCTTTGCAGTAGGTTTTTTTTTGTTAATCCTTGTTTTATAGATGAGGAAATAGGCTCAGAGAGACTGAATTATGCAAATTCACAAAAACCAGTGAGTAATAGTTTCAAACATAGCACCCAGGAATCTGATTCCAAAGTCGCTGCTTTGTCAAAAAAAAAAAAAAAAGCCAGGAGAAATGTGATTACTCTGTATAGAAAATTGGCCTGTTCACCAACCCTGAAATCTGTTACCTCTTGAATGCATAATAATGACCCAAAGTAACAATTTTCATAAATAGCACATATTATCAACTCTCCTCTAAACACTTCTCATTAATTTGTCACAATTGGTTTTTAAAATACTGTAAAAATCTTCATTTTCATGAAAGTGGCAACTAAACTACAAAGAGAGACTATCGGAAAGTCACACAGTGGGTATTCAGGAGAAGTGGGGATATGAATCCTAAAGATTGTGAGCATGAAACAGTGTTGAAAGGATTCATGAAAAAAACCAGAAAGCTAGAAGAGAGGCCGTCTGGGTTAAGGGCAATGTGGAGATCGCAGCTACTGAGTTGTCGCTCCCAGGGTAGGACAAGATAATTTTCATCATACTCTGACCGGTAGTGGATTGCAGTGGCCAACAGGTGGAGAGCCAGTGTGGACAGTTAACTCTCCTCCCATTTTAAGCATCTCCTTTTGGGTGATCCAGAGTCTTTGATTATGAGAAGCATAGGATTACCGTATACGTGACATTTTCCTGCTTATGAGTAGCTCGCATAAATTCTCTGCTATTTGCTCTGCAGTAACGGTGAATCTTATAATGACGAATGTATTGGTTTTCTTGTACATCGGATGGAATCTCATGCTTCTAGGGAACTGAAAAATCCAATCTTTTAAAAATCATTTCATTCATTTTTCACTCAGTTATGTCCCTTTGTTGATAAGCACGTGTGCTTTATGGCTTTTTCTCCTTTCCATACACTGTTCTGAAGTAAATAATTTTCTTTAGTTTGCCTATCCCGCCCACCCCTCAAGGAATAGCTTATCAAGTCTAATTGCAAGGGGTGTGTTCTTGGCTCTATAAGTGCCAAAAGGAACATCAAGAGAAAGACGTTGAGTTAGACCAGGAGACGTGACAAGATTTTGCTGTATTTGACTTAGAGGAAACAAAAATAGCTTTCAATAATTTGAAGTTTGCAAAAAAATAGAATAATTCTACCTCATGGTTAAAATGGGCAAAATTAGAACGAATTGTGTTAATAGTGTGTATTAGTGCTAACATCTCTGATTCCTGGATGTATAAGAGAGAGCAATATTATTGAACCTATCTTGCAATGTAAAAATATGTAATTTCTTTCCTAAGGCCTGAGAATCAGTAAGTGCCAGAGCCGAGATTCTGACTGGAAGTTCCTTGATGAACTTCCTTGCCACCACACACTACTGAGCAATGCTTCGCAATATTTTTGGGTAATGGAGTGCAAAGTATAATATTGATGTTGGAATAAACACAAAAGATTTCTCATGGTCAGAATCCTGTGTTGTTTTGAGCCCTCACCTGTAATATACATGGTCTGCAAAGCACTAGCAGATTTAATTATGAGGTGGATTTTAAACTTGGTGGAAGGGAGGACATACCTTCGAAGAATTTGATGTGGACTGTCTCGTGGAAGTGAGTTCTTTCTTGCTCTCTGGAGGGGATTCTTATTTGGATAGCTGTTGTTTAACAAAGTCATGAAAGGATTCATCCAGCTGTGTTAGGGAACCTCCATTTTTTTCCCCTATTTTACTGACTCTCTGACTCAAACTTACATCTTTTTCCTACAGATCTTTTCTTCTGTGCCAAGCCCTGAATATTGTATCGCCTATAAACATTGCTAGAAACTTGATTTTCTTTTTAATTTATCATCCAATGCTATGTGACGTTTTGTTGTTTAGCTTCTAAGGTAACTGAATCTTTAATGGCAGCTGTTAACACCTGCAGGTCAGTAGCTGTGGGTTGAATAGCTTATGATCTCCTCAGAAAGGAAATATGCCTCCCAGGCACAGTTATGCGGTAGCACGTGACTACAGTGAGATTTGAAATGATTGTCCATGTTCTTCCCATTATTTATGTGGAATAATGAACTGGCTACATATTCTTAAGCAGTAAAAAAGAAACCAACATTGTGCCAGTGTACCGTAACATTCTGTTCAAAATTCTGCAGTAATAAATGAAGTGCATTCACTGAAATTTGGGAAGAAAATCTCTAAAATTAAAAAAATAAATAAAACAAACAAAAAAACACTTCCTGAGAAAACTTCCCCCCCTCTCTCCTGCAAGTCCATATCTAACAGGTTTTCAAGAACTCTTTTTCAATATCCTCAACTTCTTGTGATTCTTTTCTTCCAGTCGGTATTCTCATAGCTTCATATGCTTACATTTATACAGTCATTTTACATACACAAGATTAGTTTCTATTTGTTTTATACTGCTCTCTATGTGAGCTCTTTCTTAGATGAACTGTAGGCTCTGGATCTGCTCTGGGTCCCCGTATGGATGTGGGTCTGTGCTGCTGCTGCTCCACTTTCTATTTGGCCTTCTGATAATAGCTTGGAAAAAACAGCCAAAGATGTTTGCAGTGTTTGGGCCACGGTAACCATGGGAAGGACCTGAGTGAAGCTCCCGGATCCCACCTCTGGTCTGGATTAGCACTGACAGTGTGGCCTTTGGGGTGACCACAAGTACAATGAAGACTTTCTCTTCCTGTCCCTCTCCAGCCCCCAGAACTACAGCTTTCAAATAAATATGTAAATCTTTTTTTTAAAATAGCTTTAAAAACCGACGTGTTCTGTTATTTTGAAGCTATCCATAGATATGGGCAAAAAATTTTATGAAACACTCAGTTTTCAACATACACTTATAAACAATTGAAAACAATGAAATCCTAATGCTAAAAACACAGTGATTTTGATTTTAAATATTCGTATGTCTCATATTTCATTTTCCAGTTTGTTTACACTTTTTGGAAGGGGAGGGGTGACGACTGCAGCATGTTACAAGTGGAAGGTAAATTCAGAGAAGCAAATTATCATGTAAATCAAGAGTAGTGCAGAGAATATTAACAATCAGTATTAGAATAATTGCTGAGGACATTTTCCAGTTTTCTCTGTTGAACAATAATAAAGACTAATTGCAGATAAACGTCCTCAGTGAATTAAGTGTTATCTTAAAATGGTGGGTAATAGAGAAATAAGAAAGATGTTTTTGGAATAGACTGAATAAATGATGAGTCATTTAATGGGGAAAGCAGCAGCAATATTAATCATTTGATACCCTAAACTGGAGCTTCTAAATTATGAAGAAAATGGAAGAAAATAGCTATGTTTTAAAGTAATGAGGAACTTGTGTATTCATAAGATTCTAGAGTGAAAAATCATTAATTTGAAAGTGTTTTTTAAATGCTGCTTACAGTACAAAGGCAGACATATCACTTAAGTGAGCAGAGATTGAATGCAGATAGACAAGGGAAAGTGGGAGACCTCAGCTGAATTTACAACAGGAGTCCTAAGGAGGCTGTGCCCTCCAATTCATTTTATTACTAACTTGAGTGAATGCAGATGTCCAAAAAAAAAAAAATCAGATATTCCTATTTGAAAGCTCAGAATCTTTCTAACACTGTGAAACCCAAAGAAAATACAGCTACTTTATTGCAGGGAAAAGCAAACTAGATAGTCTCATCCATTGTGGAATATAATTAAAAATTACGACAGAGTCTATACAAACCACCTGCTTGATAACAAAGTCAACAAGACAAACCGTACTGAGGGTATAGAATGGATGGAGTTCACAAAGATAATTTTGGGATATTGAGAAAATATATGTGTGTTTAGGCGGAGTGGCAGCGTTCTGATCAATTGTATAGAATTGGGGATGTGAGGCTAAGAAGAAGCTTTAATGGTTATATTCAAACTTTATAAACAATGAGAGAACTACCAGAGATTTCCTTAACTCTTGAGACATGTTTCATTCATACAGCTATTAAAAGGGGGCCGAGACCAAGGACCTTAGGGATTTCTAGGCTAAAAAAGTTTGAGATGACAGTGCTTCCTTGTCTCTGGAGAGATGCATTTGTCTTAAAAAATCATAGTGCAAGAAGCCAGGATTCTTGTGTATATGTAATGAAGTTTGTTCTTTGCTTTTTAGGAGAGGGGAGGACCTTTTCTCTTAACTCGGTATGTAAGGTGACAAAATGAACTTATTTCTGTCTCTCACCTGCATGCAGAAGATGGCTGGCTTTTTCCTTCCCTAACCCCAAGGTAAACCTGAGTATGGGGAACCATAATGTCATTGTTTACTTTGTAACTAAATAATGGTACTCTGTGATCCAAATATGT